ATGCTGCCGTCGGTAACTCATAAATCATGGCCCTCAGTCCTACTGTCTCACTGACTGATTGACCGAATGAGTGTATCGCAGAGCTGGCAAGTCGACCACATTCTTTACCTTAATTAGTGCAGTGGGGCTTAAGCGCTCTTAATTGGCACTTTTACCGGAGCGATTAAGGCGAAATATGACAGCTCCAGGGACTTGGACTTTTTCCTCGACAACACCCAAAAATGTCGACAACTATTCTGCAGTCAGATGCCAAAAAATGAAAACAGTTCCGGCCGCAAAAGTAAGTAGGAAAATTTAATTTTTATTTACTATTTTGCATTTGTTATATTAATATAATTACTGTAAGATCGTGAACATTTATATGTCACAGCTAATGTTCATGATTCAGAGATCAAGTACTTTAAAAACCCATTAACAACATTTAACATAAATTTTAATTAACAAATAAATAGTAAATGTTTTTCCGATTTAGTACTATATATGTGCTGCTAGCTGTATTGAACAGCAAAACAGATACAGGCAACCTTATTTCCTGTTGCCTTTCATTTTGCAACTAGAACGAGGGAAAAGGAAATGGCCCAGGCGAGTTTGCTCTGCCAAATGCTGCAGCTGAATCTCATATCGATTGGTAGCAAATGTTTCGTCTTGTCAACAGCCCAACAGCCAACAACAATGGAGCATCCACTCCCCGGTTTTTTGTGGGTTTTTGGCTTTTTGGTTTTCGGTGTCGATGTCGTGTTATTCCACTGGCATGGCACGCGTTTTGAAAATTAATATTTGCCTTGTTGCAGCAAGTCTGCTGCTGCCTTTTTGAGGTTTTTCCCCCCGACAATCGGAGACCCAAGAGGTGAGCGCAATGTATGCTAAGCATATGCAACCGAGCAGACCGCAAGCTCAGTGCCGTTTATGAGCCGTTTTGGCTTATAAATGTTTTAATTAGATATATTCGGTTTGATAAGCCGGAGACAGCTAACAAGTTGGTTAGTCTGTTTCGGGGCTTATGGTTTATGGGCCTCGGCTGCACAAAGTGGGTCAGCGAGTTGGCCAAAGATTGCAGCCACTTTTCTTGAGACTACCAAGCACTCAGAAAAAATACGCTAAAATCAACAATTTATTTCAAGTCTTTATACATAACAAAATTGTTTCTGTACCGAACTAAACATTTTGTTATTTATATAAGGACAATTGTAGGAATAGCCCAGACTATATCAACTCATAAATCAAAATTCTTTAATTTGCTAAGAAATTCCTAAACATGGCTTGTGAAATGAGCCTCTTATTTATATTTAGGAACAACTTTTTAATTCTATAAGGTAGGCTCAACTTTAAGGTTATGTTAAGTATATTATTGATCAAATAAAGAGTGTATCTAAATGTATCTTTATTTCATTTTTTTATTTCCAGTGCATTATTCACAAGAAACATTTCCCTTTTGGTTTATCGGAGAGTTAAAGCTCCAGTATTTCTCTGAACTTTGCTCTTTCCTCCGCAGCACACTGATTGCAATTAGAAAATCTTTACGACTCTATGCTCAGCAATCAATCTCCAATTGTCTTTCAATCTAAGGCTTAAAAACTGCACTAATTAGAGTATTTTATTACACATTTTATGGCGATGCGAAGCGCCCGAAAAATGCAACTCCCATAAAACATGGCCGTCTATCTTATTCAAACAGTTCAAAGTTTAACTCGTTCAAGTGCCAGCTCCCGAGTGACGACTGCCTATCAACAGACCACTTCCCTGCCCCCGAATTTCATCTTCGAGCTCATCTCGAACTCCCCTATTCCGTTGCCCATAAATTTCACGCGCTTCAGTTGCGCATCCGGCAAATGGATGGATGGATGGATGGATGGATGGAACATATGGCAGTTCTTGAAAGAACATTCCTTCTTCACAGAATTTTTGGGGGTGGGGCCCTTTTGGGGCAAACCGTGTGTGTGGGCCCCCAAATTTGTGTTGCTGCCCGTGTGTGTTGACAACATTGTTGTGATTCAGATTAAATGCCTTTGTCTCGGGCGCATTTTATCTAACCCACATTCATAAAATATGCTTCGCTGTTTGTTCGCTCGCATGTCGAAATTGAGGCAGCCAAAGATTACACCGGAATTTCAGAGATTTGAGATTAGGAAAACTCAGCCTAAGCTGCAGAACGTATGCAAACACAAAGAGATCAACCTTATTTAATAATGTTAATGGAAATTTGTAACTTAAGAATAAGTCTAATGTCTAATAAGTCTAAATTAATAAATGAAAAGTTTTCATTAATTAGAGTTTACATACTGTAAGGATAAGACCTTTTTAAAAAATTTTAAGTAATTTACTTTTTCCTGATCGAAGTGTAAAATATTTTGCCTAAATTGAGCTTTTCTTAGTGTCAAAGTTTTAAAAACTTTAAAGATAAGTATTACAAACTAAAAACTTTTCCAACTTCCAGGACAGTTCTTTTATCTTGATGTATTTGTTCCTAGTTTTTTTGCTGTGTACTCACGTGCTTCTCCGGTTTCAAGAGGAGTCCGTTCTGCTGCTGCTGTAGCTGATGGTCCATGATGGATAAGCCCTTGCCGTAGCGACTCTGGATGGCAGCCGAGGCAGCTGCCGAGAGGAGCATGGGCGCCGTCCTGGAGGTGGGCGAACTGCCGGCCGAACCGGAACCGGATCCTTCGGCCAGGGCCGCCAGATGCGGGGGCAGCTTATCGGCGGCCATCAGGCTGTCCAGATCGCGCAGAAACTTGCAGGCCCAAATGTTGACATCGTCCGCCTGGGCAGGTGGAGCGGGCAGGGATTTAGTGGGAGATTTGGTTGGACTGAGGGGTGGCGGGGGCAGGGCCCTTAGTTTAGTCGTCACTGGCTTGGCCGGTGTGGCTGCCAGGCCCGATGTGGCCGTGGTGCTGCTGCTGTCAAAGCCGCTATCTGATTCCGTGGAACGAGACAATTCATCAAGCGGCTGGACTCCAGCCTGCGATAGCCGCTCCTCCAGTTGCTCGCGGAGCTGCTGCTCCAAACGCTGGACCTTGCGCAGCTCGAAGACCTCGTTGATTTCCCGCTGCAATTAGAATGACAGTTGTTAGTTGGGTACACTCGGGAAAACGTGGGTATATTGAAATATAATTAAAACGAGAATGCATTGTATAAAATGTATTGGAAATGTTTTGCTAATATTTTAAACTGAATGTTAGGAAGCTTTACATAAATTTATAAGCTTAAGTTTCCAGAAATTAATAATTGTAATTAATACATTATATCACTAAAATAAGAAATTTCTGAATAGAGTAAACGTTGACCGCAAAATTGGATCAAATTTATATTTTAATTTACATATTGAATTCTTTCATACGTTCTGTATTAAGTTCTTTACAAAAATATTATAAGCCCATTTAAATCAACGTTGTCATTTATATTTTTGCATTTACAAGTCAGACATAGACATATTACATTACATATCCCAATCGCTCTCCATTTTTGTCCCTGTAAAGAAGATCCATAAAATCCGCACTGCGGTGGAGATTACGTTTTGATTAGCGCTCTAATTGCGCACATATATCAAGGCAATGGTCTATTAATCGCGCCCAGAGCGCCACATCCTCATCCACATCCACATCCGCAAAGAGCTTCTTCTAATGGCCCCCGACTATGATGTATGTTTGCTTAATTTGCCCCGCAAACAGGGACAAAAAGAAAGCCCAGGACACGACCAAGACAACCCGGAGAGACATGGGCACAATCAAAGACAAATAAATTAGAACACGACCGCGGAGGCAGAAAGGTTTTCCATTTCCACACTCGGATCGGAACAGAAAACTGCAGCCACGAACTCCCAGCGAAACACGACTTGCCGCTGCAACAACGAATGCAAATAAATTGAAATGAAGCAATTTGTTAGCCAGATTAAACACAACACAACAAAAAACAAAAACGAGGAGAAAGAAACTTAAAACAAGGGAAGAGAACCCAGAGAAGATCAGAGACAGATGCAGCCCACAGGGCTAACAAAGTCAACGAATTACTTAATTAAAAATCGTGGCCCCATACCCAGACGCAGACCAAGAACTGGTCCTGGTCCACAAGACCCTTCTCGAAACCCTTGCCGAAACCCTTTCCGATTCCCCAGTGACATTAATAACGTGCCGTGCTCATTACTCAACAATTGTGTTGGTTTGCGGGGCCCTTTTTTGTTTTCTGTGGCTGCTGCTGACTTTGCCAGAAGGGCAGCTCTTCCAGACAAATGCGATCGAGCATTAGCGGGCAATAAATTCTCAGAGGTAGTCTATTGCTGCTGGGGCTTGAAAGAAAGCCGCGAACTCTACGATTTTATCGCCGGCGTTCTCAGGTAGTGTGGGAAGTTGGCCGGCTAATTTGCGAGGGCGGTCCGGTCCGGTACGGGTCACAGGTTGGGCAAACAAAGCCGGACTCCAATCGAGTTGGGCCCACTGATTTTTTGACTTCAAACACAACTTATGACGTATGCGAGTTGCTTTGCAGCCATCTCAAGTGGGCCGCTTATTTCCCAGTTCGGCGTCATACAATGCAATTTCTTTTTATTAATTTCATGCTACGACGCGCTGGACAAACAATTGGCATTGCTTTGGAATCAAAGAAACACCGAGGGAAACACTTTTACTTGTTCTTTTGCCGAAGGATTTTTGAATCGGAAGTACCGAATAAAGGCTACTCAAATTATAATTGTATGAATATATTTTTGCCCTAAAATTCCTGATAAAAATAATTCAATAAGGACGGAGTCGGAAGTAAAGGCATCTCAAACTTTGATATTATGAATATGTGTTTGTACTTATATAATATTCAGTAGCTTTTGATATAAACAATGAAAATGTGTTTGTTTTAATATGGATTCCTTTAGGGAGGGCATTGTCAAAAAAGCCCATTTCTCTGAGTGCTCTCATATGTGACCAATGGTCTCTGGACCGCGACCAGCAGGCGTATTCCCAAAACTCCGCGGGCCGCTCCTTGCGGGCCACATCTTGTGCTATAAAAAGCTGGACCGCTGGCCAGCAACTTTCAGTTTCAGTCTCTCCGTTTTTCTAAGAGCCCAAACGCTGCGGATGCCGCTGGCTGGCTGGCTGACTGGCTTCTTCAAAGTGGCCGACGAGGCAGGAGCGAAATAAAAATTGGAACAGCTCCGCAAGTGGAGTTTCTGAGTGCGAGGAGCCACAGAGGAACCGCAGACAGCATGAGGCTCACGTTGGCCTGGCTCAGCGTCTGCCTGGCGATTTATTGCGGCGGTGGCCATGGCCATGGCAATGTGGTCCTATCTTTGCCACCATCGCTTATCGCCTCGGCCACGAAGGCGGCCTTGAGCCACCAACAACGGCAGCAGCAGCATCAGCAGCATCAGCAGAAAAAGGATGCACGCGTCCTGTTTGACAGCCCCAGCGATGCACTGCGCGATATGCTGCACACCGGCCCCATGAATTCAGCGAAATTCAGCCTGCCCGACGTGAATGTGGATGTGGAGCAGCAGCCGCAGACGTCTGACGATTTTAATCGAAACGCAGATGATTTAGGGGCCAGGCAATCAGCGCCGCAGGAAATGGCAATGCGAATGGGACTGGGAATGGGACCGGGACTGGGGCCCAACTATCGAACCACGCCCCCTCACCGGTATTGGGGCAATCGTTGCCAGAGCCGAACTGGTGCATCGGTCAAGTGTCCGCAGGAATACTATCGCACCATGCTGGCGGCCAGGTAAGAAGTGCAAGTCCAGAGATCCAGCCAGGATGTGGGTGGCAAACTGGGGGCCAGGGATTGGCCAGCGGGTTCAAGGCTGCACAGAAGGAAAGTCGAGAAAGTTTCGCTCCTCGCTTCCGCTTCACATGTAAGCCAACTTGGCAGCTAAAGCAAGGCTTTAACCCTCTTTCAAACTGTGTTATTGAATTTGACCGACAAGACGTGACTTGAAATTTTTACATTATATATTTACTTTTGTCAAGAAGAGTTTTGAGTTTTCTTAAGCAAAATATAAGCTTAATGTATATTTTGTGATGAAGGAACGTAAATTACCATTGCAAGGATAACAATAATCAGTGACTACACATTTGTAAGTCTCTTTTAACTACCAAGTTCCACGTAGCCAATTTTTGAAGCTTATTTTTCATTCAACACCACTTTTAATACAAATAAGTACCTTGAATATGAACACTTTTTTAAGAAACCAAAACCTTTGGTTTACAGAGGGTTAATGCTAACCCTTTTGAGGGCGCCAGGCTGTGCCAAAAAAAAAGGTTAACCCGCAAGAGCGGCAACAAATCGTCGACAATTTGGCTGTCGACTGGGAACACGCAAAACCAATTAATGGGCGTGAAAAAATCAGTACCAACGATTGCAGTTTTGTTTTAAGTCAGAGTCAGGAGACCGCCGCAACGTATGTTGATTTATTTTATAAAATAACAACTGTCAGCAAATTCATTGCCCCGCAACGAAATCGAAACGAAACGAAAACTGCATTACGAGTTTCACTTTTCATTTTGGCGAGTGAGAAATATTTTAACCGCTCTGCTTCTGTTTTACCTAAAACATTTCTTTCTTATGCTGCGGCCTGTAATTTGCGTGGAATATTATCTTATGTTGAAAAATTATTGGGCGCTGCTATTAAAATCGAATTAATCATCATCGGCTGGGACTTTATCATTATTATTCTCTGTTCGCATAAGTTTGGCTTTGTTGATTTGTTAAATGTTTGATTAATTGGCCACGACGGCCCGCATATCTTTCGATTGTTGCTGTTCGCCTAATTTGTAATTTTACACAGTAATTTCTGTGGAATTGACTCAAATTGACTTTTGATTGAACTGGATCAGCCCTGACAGCCTCGGATAAGGGAAGAGTTTAGGCGTTTCTGGGTTATATGTTCGAGTGGGAACAAGAAGTTCATCAATTTGGTGTCGTCTGTTAAGTTTCGAAAAGAGAAACTTCGGCCAAGAAGTGTAATTGAAACCCATGGTCGCAACCCACGCTCATGACTGAGGAAAAAAGAAAAATGTGAAAATGTGCTGCTCCTTAAAGTGAACAAATGATGGGGCATTAATAAGTCTATAGAAATTGTAAGCCTTTTTTCCCTCGTCAGGAACAAAGAGGCTCTTGCCCGCCTCCACTTGCAGCTCAGTTCGATGCAGGATTCTGACTCAGAAACTAGCTCCTCCAATTCTGAGGAGGAGGTGGACGACGAGGATCAGAGCAACAATGAGGTCTTTATGCTACTAACCGGCGAACAGGATCTGATCAAGTTCCTGCACTGGGCCATGCAGCTTCTGTATCCCATTCGGAGTCCTTCGGGCAATCTGAGTGATGGCGCCGCCGATAGCTACTACCCCGGAATGTTTCTCTGGAAGAAGCTGAACCTGTCCGGTCATTTGGAACCACCACTAATCGTGGATGAACCTCAATACGTGTTAGTAAGAAGGGAGAAGCTCTTCGATGGCTACCATTTGGGAGGTAAGTGTGTGGTTGTATCATATTCATATCATGAAACGTTTCTGTAAAATCTGTAATACTTTCTTTCTTTCCAACCGGGTGTATAAGGAAATAATTTACAATGTTAAAATTATTTTAACAAAAATAAATGTAAATGTTAAATATTAGGGCTGAAGAAATTGTTTGAAAATAGCGGTGAAGTTTCTGCTTAATAATCTTTAGTAATTTGTATTTGTGGCTTAGCAACGAAATTATAGTACCCAGTTCTCTGTTTAATAATCTTTAGTAATTTGAATTAATGCTAAGCATGAGAAATTATTCAGAAAAAAATAAAGGAGAGTAGTATCAGTGATTTTTGTATATTTATTTGATATTTTATATTATAACAATATGTATTCCAGAAGAGATGAGCAAGGAGAGCGACCCATTTATACCGCCTCGAGGCCGCAAGCACAACTCGCCGGATCTGGACGCCCTGATGAACCGGTACGAGCCCTTCGTGCCGAATCGCGGCAAGCGCGACAAGGTCAAGGATCTGTTCAAGTATGACGACCTGTTCTATCCGCACCGCGGCAAGAAGCACCGCAACCTCTTCCAAGTGGACGATCCCTTCTTCGCCACCCGGGGCAAGAAGCTGCAGCTCCGGGATCTTTATAAAGCCGACGATCCATTCGTTCCGAATCGCGGCAAGCGGCAACTGACAGGGAAAACCGCGGAGCGGGTGGCGGGAAATGGAAAATGGCCAGAGCCTGACAGCGACAACAACTGGCCGCAAAGAATGTCAACGCATAAAATTAATGGTTACGATCAATCAGTCAGGCCATCACTGTCAATGGAGGATGCTGCTTCTTGGCGACTGCCCGCTAATAGATTGCACTCGACAAGATCAATGTCAGCCGATCAGCAGCAGCAGCAATTGCTGTTGCCCCATGTCCGCCTCATTGGCAATCCGAACATGCGCCAAGTGCAGGTGAAAACATCATCTTGGCCGGCAGAAGAACGCCTCCGGAGATCCATCCTGCCCCGGGGCGCCCAAAACGATGCCCACGAGACACAATTAACGCAATCGCACCCGGCTAATCCCCATTTGGACACCGATTCCGACAATTTGAACATTTAAATGCGGCGAGCGATTTTCGGCTTCGGTTTGGTTTCGGTTTTTTCTGTTTTTCAGTTTTCGGCTTGGGGCACCATTTTCCTCGACTCATGTAGACAGAACTATATGGCACACAATAAAGTACAGCATGCAATTGATTTTGAGAGAAATCGAATCGAAACGTAGCGAATTGAAGGTTACGCTGGTCAGTTGCCCTTGGGACGCCTTTCAAGAACTGCACTGGCATAAAATCTATAAGAAAACGCTATTTGAATGGAGAACTTGAGTTGTTGATAACATTTTTATTATTAGGCATTCGGATTACGAATTACGTGCTATTACCATTGCAATCACAATTGCGGTTCTTTATCTTATCTTTAAATTTTTGATTAAAACAAGGAACTGAAAGAAAGAATGGTCTCGATAGCATTTACTTTAAATTTTATCAAGCCTTTTATCAGTTATCAATTTGCTTAGATATCATTAAATTAATTATTTATGGTAAGTAGTAGAAACCAAGAATTGTTTCATTGAGCACGTAAATGTATCTATAGATTTTATAACCTTTGTTTTGACCAACTCTGGTGACATATATTTTTCCCCGTGTGTTCTGCGAAGGTCTCGCCTCGTTGCCCTTGGCGATGTTGCTGCAGCGCGAGTACTGCCTATTTTAATTGTATTCATTGGTTAATTTATCGCTAAATGCAATCAGCATTGTGCCGGGCTGCGAGTCTAGACTCCGTTGGAGCCGCAGAAAGGCAGCTGCAGACAGGCGGGCGTGGCACGCAGTTGATGCCACGGCGGCGATATACAGGCAAGATTGTAGAACAACAACTAGCAAGCAACAACTCGGGCAACAGCTGCTGTTCGACGGCAAAGGTCAAAATAAATAAGGGCCATGTAATCCCCAAAACGCACATCAATCACACGAGTTTAGCTTATTAGCCAAGCACTGAACCTTAAAAAAAGGGAGATACAGTGATTTTTAAAGCCACTGTGAACTGAAATTTTCCACTTCAACCGATTCCTGACATTGACATTGACCACATCGACATCAACGTCAAAATATTTGGTAAGCCAGCGGACCAGCTCGCTTTGTTTTTGAACAAATGACCATTGAAGGTCATAGCCAGATCCAAAAACGGGCAACAACAAATTGGTTAAATAATACCCATATGCTCTTCCATCTCCATCTCGTTTTGGCCTTTTTTTTTTGTTTTTTTGGTTTCTGGTAGCCTGACGTCCGAGCGATCGGTCTAAAATCCCCCGAAGATCATTATAATTTCAATGGCACTTCATATGGAGTGTGTATATGCATATATATGTATGTACCTATGTTTGGTTAGAAGAATGCAAGCAGACCATAAATACTACACATTTTCTTTCCGTTCAACTCTCGGCTGGGCAATGACACTTGAAGTGGTCAATTGTCGGTTGTCTCACGTGCAGCTTTTCAGAGGCAAAGGTAGAGCAATGCGTACATCGGAGGGCCCAGTTTGAGTTAGGTAAGCTTAGTGCTAAACAGCTGTGACAGCTTCAGAAGAAATCCCACAGAAGCACTCGCATACCATTCTTACATAACTCAAAACAGAAACCTTTAAATACAACATTTATGAACAGGCCTTATTGGTTAACAATTATGTGTAGGTAGCTTAAATGTCAGTTAGGGTGTAGTTCTTTTTCAATTTGTAAATAAATGTCTTTAAAAGTTAATTGATTTTAGTCTGGGTAGCTTGATGACTCGGTCTGTGGGTTGATGCTCAATCAATTACTGAAATTCTTTTATTATTTTAACTATTTAAGGAAAGGCATATTGTTTTTATGGTTAACCTAGAATATATTATTGAATGGAACAAAATTGCTTTAAAATAATTGTATTATGTTAATTAAAGGCAGGTATGAATCTAAAGATTATAATAATTGCCTTGAAACTATAATTTTAATAAACAATTGTTCTAATCCTTTTCATTGTTGATTAGAAATTATACGTCTTCACCAAAACTATTACATTAGTCATGCCATGATTAAAAAAAATTGATTTTCATTGGCTTTAAAAACTGAAAAACTCCAAAGGAGCAGGCTACTTTGTGTCACATTTGGCGAGCGGCTAGAGAAAAAGAAAGTCCGGGCTCAGAAGAGCAGTCACACAAAACGCGATTCGCAGTTGTGAGCTTCGATTCGGCATCAGCAAACTGGCTCAATTTCTGTGGCCAAGGCCTTTTGGTGGCTGCTGATTTGCTTGTCGGAAAATATCAACGCATTGTCAGCGAGCCGAACTTGACAACTGGCAACATGCAATGCTGCAACATTGCTAAGCTGCAGCAGTGCAACAGTGCGACACTGCAGCATGGCAAACTCTGCAACTGCAATTGTAACGCGATCAGCATGAGTAGCTGGCAGCCTGTGACAGCGGCTTAATTGCTGTCTGCAATTATGATTGCTGCCGGGGGTGAAATTGTAGAAGTCTTCGCTTCACTTTCGTTTCGAAGCAGAAGCACCAACTTATCAGCTTCTCACACAGTGATTTTCTATCCATCCATCGATTTGTGACTCCATTTGGCATCATCGGGCCCGTGGGATTTGCTTTGTTTTGCCAGAGCAACTCCTGGTTGACAAAAATAGTAACGTGCAGGCAGGCGCTGCCTTTTATTGCCATTTGTTTTGGCCCGTTCGCGAGTTTGACGTTGACAAAAAAACGTCATTTGCAAATTGGGCAAAGACAACTTTCTCTGGCGGCAGCTGCGCCGTCGCATTTGCAGTCACATTCGCATTTGCCAAGTGACAGAGCCATTGCATAAAGCCATATAGATAAACCAAAGGCAAGTCGTCGCCCACATTCATTAACAGCATTCGCATAATTGGCTGAAGCAGATACTTTTTCTGGGTTCATCGAACCGCCGCAGCCAGCCAGACCCAAAAAATGAAAAAAAAAAAAAATCCAAAGCCTACTATGTAGCCGAGAAACAATCACAGGGCGCAGCAGCCTTACGTCTCAATTTCCCATCGCCACTTTGTCAATATCTATAATTAAAATCATTTGAGAACACACGCAAGCCATGCGCCTGATTAATCAGATTTTCGAATGGCAGAAAGGCAATATTTATACACGTTGTCATGCTGAAAGCTTGATTGATGCATTAAGCTTACTTAGCCATAGTCGATGCTGACGAGCGCCAATTAATAGCTGCTTAAACGGGAAAACTCTGCCTCAGCTAGTCAGCCAGCCAGTCAGCCAGCCAGCTTGTCCATGTAAAATTATGGAAAATCTGCGCAAAAGCCAGCGCTAATTGATGCAGGAAGCGCGACGGAAAAACGAGTTGCCATCGCCTGTCATATAGATTCGCTTCGTTTCGTTTCGGTGCGTCTTAAATGGGTCAGGCGGTGATTACCGCCTCCACTAACGCATTTCATAACTACACTTGGAAAGTAGATTCCAAGTATATTCAAGCGGGGACAAGTTTTTTCTTTTAATTAACTGTTTCATTATTGTACCAAAATAATATTTGATGCCAATGAAAATTTTGAAAAGATTAAAGGTTGTAGCTGATATATAAAATTTAAATATTTGAATAGTTTATTAATTGCTGATTTTTATTATTTTTTTGTGGGAGTTTTTCCAAACTTTTTTTTGAGCTTTATAATATTAAACAAAAATACATTTAAGAAAGTATTGCCTCGGTCATGTTATTTTTACTTTTGTTTTATTGCGTAAGTTTTTACTCCACTACGTTTTGAGTTTACAAAACATATAATTTTTTTTTTTAAATATTAAACATTTGTACATTACAACCCCAAAACTTGCTCGATTTATGGTATGGTATAGTATATCTTATTGTGGCAGTGTAGTCAAATTAAGCCTAAGGCCACGCCAACAACAAGCGTCTTAGCAGTCTTAGCGTGTAACGGCAATTTCCAGCAAAAACGCTGCACTATTTGTCATAATAAATGTGCACAAAGGAGACGTTGCCCCCATTCCGCTCCCCTTTGGCCCGCAAAGAAAGCGTTTTGGCCTGCGTGGGCAGCGCTGTGACACATTTTGTCATCATTAGGCACAGTTGCCGGCTAATAATTTCAATTTAGCCAAAAAATTAGTTGTGTTCGGTGGTGAAAAAGAGAGGAAAATGTGTAAAAAGGCGTTAATAACTGCGGTGTAAGGCCATAAGCTGACAGCCCACGCCAAGCTAAGAAAAAATAAGAAGAAAAACTAAGCCAAACTAGGTTTAGTTTAGTTCAGTGCGGTTGACTGCTCCAAAGAAAGGGGGCGATGGGCGTGGCCGGGCACTCGATGGGTGTTGAGGTGATGACACTGATTATAAAATGCAGCATATGGCGCATGGCGTGCAGCATTTACTGCCATAAAGCCATCCCAGTTGATCAGCGGCGATTAAAGCCGACTTGCTCTGATTTGGTGCCGCAGAAAACGCAACTAAGTCGCCTGCTATTTGTTCGCGATTTGTGGGTGCTTCGTTTTGGCAGAAACGGCCGAAAAGCACTTTAGTTATAATGTTTATTGCATCAAGAGCTTAGCACATGCATTGGAGAAATTTTCTTTGGCCTGCGTTTATGGAGTAGTTATCTTGAGAACCCTAATGGCACGAATAAATGTCGTATAAAATACTGGTAACGCTTTCTCTAAATTTTGCACTACTAAAAATGCTATAAAGTCTGTGGCGATTTTAAGAGCTTCAGTTTATAGACATATAAAAATGCTTCTTTATGTTATATGATAGCGAACTTACTAAGTAAAACTAATAAAGATAATATAAATAGAGAAAATTTGTCTTAACTTAAAAAAAAATTGAATAAACTATAAAATGTAATGTTTGATATATATTTATTAAAATAAGGTAGTACTGAATTTTGGGATTTAAAAAGTAACATAACTTCTCCATCCTTAAGGTGAAAAAATGGTGTTATTACCGTCATAGTTTTTAAACTCCAGAATGCAATCCAGAATGTTATTTCGATAACCCAACTATGAGCACATGTTGTTCAGACCACTGACCATAAGAGCCCCATAAACGCATAAACGCAAACAGCGCGTGCGTGCGTTTATGCTTCCGCCATGAGCGGCAAATAAACATAATAATAACAACAAAATCTTGCAGCTATGAGGAAAATTCATGCGAAACAGTTATAAAAAAAAGACAAGGCAACGGAAAAGGCGGGGGAAAAAAATGAAAAGAAAACTAAAGCCTCGGCCGTTGACGTTGCCGTCATCGTTGATATGTATGTGTAATATTGCGCTTTCCGGTACAGAAACATAAAATTTTATGTACACGACCGCTGACGACAGCCCAAACGACAGCCAAAGCGGCAACAGAAAGTCGGGCGTGCAACACGGCGTATGCGTTACATATTATGGCTGTGTGTGAGTTTGCCTTAACACATTTTTCTGTCACGCAAAATAATCATTTGCAAAATCACGCCGTGTTGACAGCAGAAGAGGGGCGGTGAATAAAAGACTGGCACTAGGCCGGCTCCCAGGCAATTGTGATTACACGGAAAAAAACTAATTGCCAGTAGCTTGAACCTCAGTACAAAATTAGATCAAATTAAACTAAACAAAATTAACTTCCAAAAAAAAGTTTAATAATGATGGGTAATTTTCCCTTCTAAATTCTGTAAGGCAATTATAAATAAAAATAAAAAATTTTATGTTTATTGAGCTACCAATATAATTAATATTTGCTTAGAAAGTTATGCATTTTCTTGACACCCTATTTAAAAAATCAATTTTATATATTTCTCATATGTTTCTTGATTTATGACAAGATTTTCACTGTGCATTGGTGTGAGCGTTTGTTTGACGGGTACAGAAATTGTCGGTTATTATCATGGGAAAATGACTGAAATTGAATAATGTCATTCAACAGACTGAGACAAGTGGAGCAGGGGCACTTGCCACTTCTCCCCGCTCTCCCCGAACCCAAAGTATCCTCCATCTATGCGAAAATTGCGCAACTTGGGAACGCTAAGGCTCTGAATTTCCCCAGAGCAGCGGCACTCGCTGTCAAACACTCACCTTGACACGCTCCAAATATTCCTGTAACGCTCCGTACGGATCCTCGCCATCGACGTCCAGTAAATCGAGGCTGTGAGCCAGGTCCAGATTGTCCAATGCGGCCAATTCGGACTCGGCCTTATCGACAAATTGCAGCTTATGATGATGGTGATGCCCCTGAACGGGCGCCGCCTGGCTCAAGAATTTCTTATCAGCTGTCATGGTGCTGTTGCTGGCTGGTGTTGCTGTTGCTCCCGTTGCTGCTGCTGCTCCTGTTGCCGCTGCACCAGCAACATTGCTTCCGTATTGGCGAGTGCGCGGCATGGTTGCACAACCGGTGCTAAAAACGCTCGGAGCGGTGGCAGATGAAGTTGGAGCTCGAGCTGGAGATGGAGCTGGAGCTGGAGTTGGCCGACCATCAACGTCTCCGCTGGCCGGCACATCACTTAATCCCGATTTGTAGCGCGTCGTGTCAGCGGCGATTGCTGACGTGCAGTCCGATGTTGCTGCTGTTGCTGCTGTTGCTGCTGCTACTGCCGTAGATGTTGCTCCTGCAACTCCTCCTGTCGCCTGCCCGCTGATAAGCGTTTGATGTTGCTGCTGCTGTTGGCTGCTAATTGCACTTTTCACATCGCCTGTCATGTTGTTTTGATTTGTATTGCTATTGCACTGCATTTTAGTTAACTTCTTGACTTTGTCATGTTGCCACGTCGCCTGCTGTTGCTCTGTAAGTAAAAAAAAAAGATTATAAGCTTGGTTAATCTTAATTTGGCTGCCGCACCCTGAACAATTTCCCAATGAAAAGGAAAAACTCCCAGCCCAGTCACCCAGTCACCCATGTGGCTTAAGCCGAATGCGCGAAAATTTCTGCGATAATCGCCACGAATTGTCCGCCAAATGTGTGCCATTTAAATTGTCATAAATTTTGCAATATGCTCCGCACATGTGTGGACTTAACTCCTTTTTATTTGGCATATGTGTGCCTGCGCGAACGTTTTAATTAATTTCGTACTGCCGCAAAAAAACTGCCAGCAATTATTTACATACACGAACTTATTGCTCACACCACACTTAAGCGTATCCCGAGTGGTGCGCATTATTTATATTCAGTGGGTTTCTATTATGGAGCTGGAGTGGCCGGCCCAAGGAATATGTGGCCTTTAAATTTATGTCGCTGCTGATGCTGAAAATGGGTCATCGCAATCAGTTTGATATTTGTACTTTATATGGGAAACTATGACTAATTTTTGGTTTATTTCTAAATGTCAACCATACAAACATTTTCTTAAGGAAAAAACAAGTATGCCTTTTAAAAAGTATTATCCTAACTGGAACTATCATCTGCCCAAAATCAGTTCTCAAACCGTTTTCTAAACTCTCTCACCCACATAAATGTTAATAAATTCCCAGCAAATCGAATTGAATTTCGCATAGGGGCTAAGGTTATGTGAACTTTTGTCAAACGGAAGAACCCCGCCAACCGGCCGGCATGTGTCTATATCTATTTATGTATATACAGTAGGTATTTCTTTTTATTTTTTCCTGTTGGCTGGTGGATAAGTGAAACGGTTAAAGAGCGCTTGTGGTTGTTGCTGGTGGTTTTATGGGTTTGATTTGATTTTTGTTTTTATTGCGCATGCGTGCGTTCGATTGAGTTTTTTGATTAAAATGTCGCCGCCACCGTCGCGAGTCGCGACTTGGCGACAGCCGTACAGCAATCCGGCAATCCAGCAATACCAAAAAGTCAACAGCACCAGGGGCTTGGGGCTTATTTCTTTGACTGACTCTGACTCTGACTGTGACTCTGACTCCACTTCTGCTGGTCAGAGAGGTTGGCATTTAAAAATTCTGAATCGCATGCGTTACACAACGGCCCGTGGCGAGCTCGTAAATCAGCGGCTGCAAACGAGAGTCAGTCAGACAACAGGGACAGTTGAGTTGGCAACATTTTATGGGGGTCTCTCTGCCAATTGATCGTTTTGGGCCGATTGGCAGGCCGCCAGTTCAGGCCGGAGTCAACAGCGAAAACCAGGCCCACACTCGGCTGCACTTTTCTTCTCCTTTTTTTCCGTTTCATTTTTTTTAGCTTTTCTGCATTTCAATTGTGCAACGCTAACGGTATTCCTGGCCCATAAGGACGGGACTTTACCGCCGTGTGGGTGACGCGTCGCGAATTCATGGGTGGTCTTCCCCCAATTTCGATTGCATTTTACAATCTCAAGCCATGTGAGTAGCCTTATATATACAGATAACACATCAATTTAGTTCCTCGTTTTGTCTTTCATATGAAACTTCTAAAATAGTTAAGCTTTACACCTGTTAAGAACTATATTAAACTATTTAACTTTGACTACATTAAGCACAAAAAGTGAAATACTTAAAAATATACCAACTTTAAAAGATAACTCTGGTCTAAATTTATCATCTGACCTAACAGGATCTATTCAATAAATAAAATAAACAATAAATCAAACTATACTACCTAATTTTAACAACATATTC